TGATTTTGACAATCACAAAAAGCGAGGTTATGTTTTTTACTCTGTTTTATTTGATTTGATTCAATGCTCTATTGTGACGTCATCACTTCTCGGTCTCCTCGACGCTCGCTCGATCGAGTTTCAAATCAAACGCCCCTATTATTGGGCCCTATCCAGTTGCTTTTAAACTACCGTTTCCTTGTTCAATGATTAATGAATTATAATAATATCAAAATGACCTTCAAATCATAACCCTATCACTGCAGCCATCATTCCACCTACTTCAAATTCTAACCTGGCTTCCTCATCAAAAATCAAGCTGAAGAAAGGGGGACAGCTGGCCAAAAGAGAGTATCCTGGAAGATAATGTATTTCAGCAAACTCAGTTTTAATGCCCCCTCCAGTAAATCTCCCACATAATCCTCAAATACAAGTCTCAAAAAAGCAACGCAAGACCCAGACAACTACCGAAACAAGTTTATTGCAAAATACAAAGCGCAATATAAGAGAAGCTTATCAGAAAACTACTGAACCATTCCATCTTCCTGTAGAAAACTTTCTGGCATTCCTAGAGGATTCCTATGGTAGTATAGTAGCAATCGTTATTCCACAAGTAATACTAATAAGTAGGTTCTTTCGTTCGATGTTGGTGCAATGACCACCAGTATAAATTACACCACCTTATTTACCTGATTTACTTCCTCCTTATTTCTTATACACATGTCGAGTGTAATTCACTCCTGCTAAATAGCTGGTGAAGAAAATATCCACCATTGTACACCATTTATTTAAAACACTATTTTATGTAATACTTGGGCACTAACTCACAATTCTAATTTATTTATTACAATTTGTCTTTATTGTCCAATACTTCATTTGAATCTTCCCCCTCAGTCGACGAACTCGGTTTTTATATAAAGCCAGCTCTGTACCAGAACTCTCTCGGCTTTCCAGAACGATCAAAAACTGCTTTTCTATGACTCATACGCCGCAAAGGGATCAATCCGGTAGCTTATCGAAGCACATGCGCATTGAATATTTTGCGTTCGTAGAAGAATCACTGATAGTTTTCAATTAAGAAACAAATGAAGTGATTGCCAACTGATTGAAAACGGTTGTAAAAATCCCTGACTATTCTCTGGATTTTATTCCGGGGCATGCGTACATGAAATATTTTTAAAAACTTATAATTTGACATTTGTTTGGCTTGTAATTTATGTCTTTTTATGTGTTTGATAATAAATCCCAAACCGTTGGAAATCGCGCATGCACATCAAAAATAATCACTAACCGTTTCAAATTGTCTCTACGAACAAACCTAGGTAACAATATGGTGTCTGCAAAAAATTAATATATAAAACATATACAGGGTGTAACTAAATAAGTGTAAAACATTTAAGGGAGTGATTCCTCATCGAAAAAAGATAGGATCTTTCATATAAAGAAACTTCATCCCTTGTTAAGATACAGCCCCTTAAAGGGTGTACATAAAATTTGTTTAACAATTTTTTTCACAAGCACTAAACAAGTTACAATACTGAAATTAACCTGTCATTTTCTACTACCAAAAAGACACTTAGCCAGTAATTTATTTGGTTTACCCCATGGTTGTAAGGGGTGGAAAACGCAACCCCTAAAATTTCGTTCCAACGTAACTTTTTGTCTTATTATTTGTTTACCATTTATGTCTCTTGAATTTTTTGCCCAAAATAAACCAGTTCACAGCAAAAAAATATTTTACGAACAACTACAGAGATACATCGTCATAAATGCGAACTGGATTTATTGTTATTTTGTAATCCGTGCACACTGTATAATCTGTAGAACTAATTAACATTATAACATCTATAGAAAGTTTCAGAGCAACTTTCAGAGTAAGTTCCTTAAAAGTGCTCGTGTGATGTTTTCCGGACTTCACATTGTAACCTGTGAGATGTGCTATAAAAGTCTTGCCGTTGCGCACATTCGGTGGTTGCAGGGATATTAGGGTTACATTAAAAGTACATCGCATGTGAGCCTAAAATTGCAGTTTATTAACGTAGATGGGATGTTTTTGTGCTAGCTGGGTTGTGTGTCTGCCATTTTCTATTCATTGAAAAAATGATTTAAGTGGATTTGCTAACTTAAACTTAGTAACCTAAAGTAACTTAACCTTAGTAACAAAAAATGCAAGCACTCTAGGTAAGGAAAAATAAAAAAACGAATTTAGTAAAATTTCTTTTATTAACTGAAATAAGTTAGGTGACAACTTTTTCGAATAATAACAACAGATTCCTGTCAAATATACTACACAGAGACAATTTTTGTGTATATACAAATTTGTATTTTCTCAATACTCTTCTTCGTCCTCATTTATTCATTCAATAATTCAATTCAATTATAATATAATCATATATAATATTCGCATGGAAATAATGTAAATATACATACACTACAAAAACATTGATAAAACTACCTATATGTCAGATAACAATTGAATATTATAAATGTTTCAAAATTTGACTATATCCTCATTTATTTATAATTAATATTTGTTAAGTAACACAAGTGCAAAAAACAATATCAGGGCTCGGAAAAGGTTATCCACATCTATACAAGCTTATTTTTATTTTTTATTTTTTTAATAATGGAGCGATGCTCGATTGATCACACAATTTATTATGGTCATATCGATTCCACTGCACTCATTTATTTTTCTAACAAGATTATTTTAAACCTTAATTATCTACTTGTGTATTTGTCAATAACAATATGATGAGCACTGACATAAATCATACTGAAATTAAATTCATTTAAAAACCTCATAAAAACAATAAATAAGTTGATACTGACATATCATGCAGTAAAGATCCAGGAAACTAAAAATTCTGGAATTTTCATTAAAGTTTGCACAACTCTTTTGATACAGTATAAAAAGCATTACAAAATTTCTGAAATGAGAAAAGATCGAAATTAGAACACAAATGATTAAAATCGCATATGATTGAAATAATAAATGATCCAAATGGTATAAGATCAGAAGCATTATATTACGAAATTAGTATATTAGTTTTTTTTTTAATTTTTCTTGTTTTATGTATAATATTTTGAGAACAAACCTGCAATGGCTCCAGGTCGCACAGGTTAAATTTTTCTCATTTCATGTAATTACAAAACAATAACTAATTTACCTAACCTGTGCAGCTTGGAAGCATCGCAGGTTGCTTCGCCGAAAAATTATACATAAAATGAGAAACAAAATAAAAAATAACAACCAAATTACCTAACCGGTACTGCCTGGAACCAACAATTTCAAACGTTTTTAGTTTTGAAATTTTGTATTTTCGAAGTTTTGTCACAGGCATTTTTATAGTTCGAACTATTTTTCTCAAACTTTTGTCATTCGAAATTTTCTAATTCAAACTTTTGTTATTCGACCTTATTTTACCAACTCTTATACATTATTTGAACCAGGAAGCTTTTGACAGTGGCGGTTTTAAATGGTGAATGTGTAGCGCAAATATAATGAGAATTCAAGGATAGTTCAGTTTCCTAGAATTTTACCTAAACAGCTCTGCAATTATTTAGTGACATTCAATACAGCTGACATCTTTGACGTTGACATATAAACGTTGGCATTTGAGAAAATTGCAATTAAATTTGAAATTAATAAATATAAGCAGATATGTATTACACAGTAATGCTGTATAAAAAGTAAAGCCTTATTCACAAAACGTCAAATTCATGTATTGACATTATCCAACAATGTGCGTCACTTCACCTGCAGTATAGCTATTATTGTCAGTTGGGTATAAAATTTGAAACATATAGGAGAAATATAAAACAAATAAAACACTTAGAAATAAATAAATATGAAAATATCTATAATTTAGATAAGTCCTAACTTTTTTTAATAAAAAATCTAAAATCTTTATAAAAACCTTTCCATCATTCATAAATTAAATTGCTGCCGTAAGCCGTAATCAAGTTATTTCCAATATTGAAAGAATTCAGAGGTCCCTACCAATCATGAAATTTTATTTTGTATGTGGAAAAATAATGTCCAATAATAGAAGCTGCAGATATTGAAGGACAAAAGATCAGAACTACCAAGATGCCAGTCAAGGCAGCGAATGAAGGAAACATGCTATAATTACTGGCAAATGGAGAAATTTTATGATGAAATACATAACGGAACAATACAGCTAAGATAGCTCGATACTTGGACCACTTCGAAAAGGCTATTGGCGATTCCGGGGCAAATCTGATTAAAAGATTTCAGTAGTTCAAAGACTGTATAATTTTCCCCATTCAGAAAAAAGTTTCCATCAAGACGCAGAATTATCCGATGACTGCAAACAAATCACAATGTTTGTTTAATACAAAGAAAGAAGGGGAGAAAGTTGAAGATAAAGAGCAAAATGCAGAAATAAATAAATTTAGCAGCCAAAGAGGTAAAAGAAGTGGAATTTAAAAGGAACATAATTTCAAGTGGACTGCCTAAACTTCTTGAAGTCGTGTGGCACAGTAGTAATTAACTATGAGACTTACAGTAGCAATTTTATTTTACCTGAAAAAGGTTTTGTATTAGATTTACATTAATCTGGGTAACAAAAGTTAGCAGATCTATCAATCCGGCGTAATTAAAACTAATAGCCTCAATATTGATTTATGTCAGTACCAAAGTTAACAAACGAATTATTTAAAACTGAGCCGTTTTCTTTTTTTATGCAAGCACACAAGTTTCAGGCACCACACGTAGAATCAGCATTACGTGTCGACGTTTTGACAGTCGCAGTGTCTCTTTTGTTTTTTTTTTTTCAGTTTTCGAACGATACAAACTTGAACGTCTCGTTCCAACGATATACACACGTCTTCAGGGGACGAAGACCGTTGACAAGGGGACAATAATTTTTTGGATTATGGGGAATAACAACGATTTATGGATATTTTTTTGAGGGGGAATTAAATGGAGGAGGGCCATTGTCTCAGTGAAGACGCTGAGTACGAGCCGGTAGAGTCCATATCGGTGGGGCCAAAGGTCACAGTTTCTCCTTGGCCGGCACCCAAATGTTTGGTCCAGATTGTTCCTTGATTACTTCTTTGACTTGATTGTAGATTTCTTCAGGAGTGTCTCCTTGAACTACAGCTGTTAAAAAAATGTAATTATGTTAAACCATTTCAAAATAGTTAACTAATAACTAGAGCTCATATGTTAATAGGTCGTGACATAAATAACAGTGCACCGCAGGGTAAGCAACCATTTTCACAATATTTTAAATTCACAGTCAGGGGCTCGAATATATATTTCTAAATGTCGCACGTGACACTGATGAAATGTCGAATAAGAACGCAAAAACGTATTCTCGAATGGCGAATTCGACATTTGTTGTAACACATAAAGTCGAGTGGTATTCATTGTAATGTCGCATACATTTTCAAAGGTTATGTTATAATATGTATGTTGTAAGTGTTGTGACAGTGGCAGTTTTTTATTTTTAAGGGAAATGAAAATAAGTTTTGTATAAATTTTTAAAAATGTATGAATTGAATATTGACAATTTATAAAGCTCTATTTTTTCAACTTGCAAGTAAAAAGATTATATTATAATAATATATTTCTTTCTCTTTCTATTTAATCTCTTACCAAAATGCACTTCCAACTTCCAACACTAAATTTAAAACCTCAATTTGTCTTTGAGAATATGGATAGTGTCAGCTGATTGACATTTTGATAGACATTATGACGAATGCAACATTTTTAATAGCCATTCGATAATAGGGCTCCTGGACCGTAACCAGGTAGGTACAGACAGAGTAGAGGCTCACTGGCGCAAAAAATTATGATTAAAATTATTCTGAATAATCGTAAATATTATAAATTATGTTAAAATAGATCCATGTGGCAACCATGACAACAGGCTAGACGAGAGGGGGCAAAATCCCGGGGCCCGGCAGCGTTAGCAGCTGACTTTTTTTTAGTTCGCTACAAAAGGGAGGAATACAAGCTGAGGACCTTTTTTTTATTTCACCAAGAAAGTACCTGATTTTGCTGAGAACCTTTTTAGCAATTTAACACAGAGAGGACTAGTTTTTATAAAAATGTCCCGCTATTTTCCACAAATCGGCCAACCCTAGTTATATAAGGGGCCCTTGTTAGTATGCCGTGGCTCTGGGCGGCCCTGCATGGCAATGTTGTATGAGCACATTCTAGAAACCTAAAGATCGTAGCCAGGCGCAGTGATACACGTGTCATATTCAATAACTCATTACAATAGCTGGTAACGCCGTTACAAATGAAACTCAAAGGAATTAAACATGCACAATATTTTACAGTTATTTTGGACAATTGGAGGGTAACAGTTAATGGGCCTTTTATTCCCCTACACAAAATGTTTGTTGGAACGTCAGAGACACAGTGGCGATAGAACTGCCTCAACTTTGCCTCTCTCTGTGCCTGTGTTGGTAATGTAAATTTAGAAATGTTAGATATTAAAATATATGTTGGAACTATAACAAAAATATTAAAAAATAGATGAATAAATAGAATTTTGAAAAAGTCAAAATGATTATTTTCTTAAAATAAATCAAAATTATAAGTTATAAACCAAGATTAGCTGGTCCGTTACACACCACTAAGTGTTTTCGCAAAAGATTGTCTGCTTTTAGTTGTTGTGCAGCAAGAAAATGTACAAACAATTCGAAGATTTGGTGCTCTTTCATCAGCAACCTCAAATTCTACAGACATAATTGCAAGAATTAATAATAAGTTTGACATTTTAAATACATCTGCCGGTCCTTTTGCTACAAAGTATCAAGAGCTGTATGTGAATAACACAGAAAAAACAAGTTTTAAAAGAATCAAGATGTAATGCATTCAGTTGCAGAAAACTATGAAGTCGATACTACTGAAATTTTGTTGAAAATGTCAGATTTACCACTAAATGTTGAAGATAGGTTTGAACTTGAAACACAAACGCCCTTTGTGAGTATGAGTATGAGAAAAGACTTATTAATGAATACTATCGCAGCAATAATAAATTAGAGAAATGGTTTGTTAAATAAGAAGTTCATTCAAGTCCTTAGAAAAAGATAGAAAAACAAATTATTTTAGGTATTTTTTCAATATAATCGCCATTTAGCTCTATACACTTTTCCAAGCGTTTCTACAACTTTTTTAAACTATCTAAAAAGTAAGATTTTAGAAGGTTCTTAAAATGGGCGACGACTGTTGTACACCGAATCATTCTTTTTAAGTTTATAAATAAAAAAGTCACTGGATACCAAATCAGGTGAATAAGGTGGATGTAATAATTCGAATTTTAATCCCATGATATTGGCCATCAAAATTTCACAGATGTACACCTGTGCATTTTTCTAAATAAACAAACGTTTCTTGTCTAATTTGATAATAAAAAGGAAACCATGAGGTGGATATAACTAAGACTTTCTCAGCTGTCTAGTGAGTAATGATACTCGAAAAAAACAAACCATTTTCGATGCTACAAACGCCATCTCTTGGATTTTCTAAGGACTTACTGAACGATCCTCGATTGTAGTTCTACAAATGACATCAGCACCAGATGGCAGAGTAATAACTTTATTAAGAAAGTGGAATTTTCCAAAAGGGTTAGAATTGTATATTCTGTAACAAGGTAACAAAGTAGCAGACTTTACTTTCTCCACGACTACAGACTCAGTAAGAGTTGAATATAGTAAAATGAAACTTTAAACAAAACGAAATATTTAATCTAAATTTTGTTAGGAAAGTTTTTGTTTAAATTGTTTGTATAAACTGTCAGTTTAGGAGAAATAATATCAAATTCCATATAAGAATCATTATATTCACCAATTTTTGAATTTAGGTTCAACTTAACAAACGCCGCTTATTTTTATTCAGGCAAATTCAAACTAAATACTAATACGTCGCGTAGAACTGTTAGTTATGAAATTCATGACTATCTACGACACGGGCATGGTATTCACAGCTATTAAACAGTAGCTATTACATAATTAACATTCAGTCTCTAGAGTTAGAATGAAATACATATAAAATACATAAGATGCAAGTGTTTCAGAATTTTCTTTCAATCTCAAGAGCGAAAATGTTATCTTTCTATTATTATAAGTGGTTTAGGAAGAAATACACTCAGTAGTGGCCATTGGACAAAAAATATTATGATCTAGGTCTCGGTATTTAGTACCTGTTTATTCTGTTTATCTATCCCCCTTATTATTATCATCGACCAGATAGTTAATACAAATAAATTTAGTAATTCTATAATATTTTATCTAAATATCCACAACCGTCTCTCTTTACCTTAATTTGATATCAATTATATATTTCCGAGTTTTGTTTATCAATATACACAGACATGTTTTAACATTAAATCGACAAATGTTTTGATGAAACATGAAATGATCTATTAACACACAGACTCTAGCTATCGTTTTTACAGATATCACAATTCAGAATACCTTAAGGTACATGCAAAAACATAACGTAACTTTTCGATAAAAATAATAGTTACCTGTAAAGTATTCACCGAATTCTTGCTCCATTTTGATTGACCTTTCGTAAGTCTTCTTAGCTTGTTCTTCTGTCATCCTCTTATTCATTTCCCTAGAAAAAAAATTTGCATTACAACGTAAGTTATGTACTACGATTTTGCTACGATCACAATGAATACACAACCTATACTTATTACTAAAGTGTATTTAGTATTCTCAACAATAAACGAAATTAATGTTGTTATAGAACGCATAGTTACAGATTTCAAAAATAAAGTGGGTATAATAGGGTTGTAGAGTTATCATGTAAAAATATATTCAACTATAAAGGACGTCCCAAATAATTCTAATTATTAAGATATCCGTTTTTTAAAGGAATATATTTTAACATTTTTAGAAATATCAAGTGATCATTTAATCATAGTATTTTTTTTTTTTTTATTTAATTGAAAGCACCATTCGGTGTGGAGGATGGGTTGTCCCACGGCACTTAGGCCTTACTAGGTCCATTGTTCATACTCCTAAATTGAAAGGCATCTCTTAGCTCGTCATCCAGCTTACAAATTTCATTCTTGGGTAAAAAAATAATAATATGTCACGTCAAAACTTGAGATTATTATATGATCACCACAACATTTTTGTATATTCACAATTCCTGTTTTTTTTTAATTTCAAATGACATTCAATATTTTATATCTTTATTTTTTATATAGATAAAGAATCTGTTTCCCAACATTTTTTTTATGAATGGATCTACATATCTAACATCAACCGTTTTTGTCATTACTCCAACAGTATTGCAAAGAGTAGAGTGGTTGTTTAAAAAAATATTTCAACTGTGTATTAAGCAAAATGGAAGATATTTTAAGCAATTTTTCTGAATTTAGAAAATTATTAATTCATTTTTTCCCTTTTAATATTATTGTACTAATTTGATTTGTCAGTCGATAAATTTTGAATATTTTGAATTATTGAAGCTCAAAAGATGTTTTTGACAAAACGGTCGATTGTAGGTATATAAATCCACTTATAAATTCCTCATCTACAGGGTGTTAGTATATTCGGCCGATAACCCTCTACTTCGGAGAGTTCTCGTTAATTGATGAATTTTGATATAGCAACATGAACTTAAGGGCTGTTGTACAATGGGCAGTTAAAATATTATCTTAGTTTAAACTGTGAACCTCGTTGTATAATCATCAGTTATTGTTAAACATAGTTTTAAAATAACATTTGTATTTTGAATATAACTAGTTAAAAATTAAACTCCTATTAGCTAAACTGAGTTAACAGCATTCTTTGTATAAGTGAAGGGCTTAGTTATCGAGATACAGGGTGTTAAAAGTTTAAAATCAAAATTTAAAATTTGCCATAAATAAAAAACGAGTTTATTTTTTTTTTAAATTTGGCAGTGGCGCGGTATCAGGGTTAGTGGCAACTTTTTTCCCCTATTTTTTACGCCACTGGAGCATTCATTTTTTTTATCTTTAAATTATCTGTTCATTTTTAGGTAAACAAGCAATAACCTTTATGGTGCTAAAATGAATAGTGTAGTAGAAATTTGCTTCTCACTTAGATAATTTGTACAGATTCAATATTTCTAAATTCTGATTTAGTAGGCACGTGTCAAATTTGAAAGACATTTTTAATTTATTACAAATTGTAGATGTTGAGTTAAAATTTTTAACACCATGTATGTCGGTAACTTAAAGGTAGTGACTCACTCTTTTTATAAAGTCAGAGTTGTGGATGTATTTTTTACATTTGCGGGTCCTTATCAGGCCAGAAATACAAATCAAATTAATTTGACAGTCCCACAACCCAGACGATATGAAAAGTGTGGATCAGCACCTTTTTATAATGGATTCCTACAAAGTTTTAGAAAAATCGCTTTGAAAATTAAACGGACATGATGTTAAAAAACAAAAAGGTTGTTAATTATAAAATAAATTGTAAAACTTTAACTTTTTGTAATACATATTGTTACGATAGTTTAATTTATTTATTTAAAACACGCTATTCACAATTTATTTATGACGTAATTAATGTATATAATACTTAGGCACTAACTCACAATTCTAATTTATTTATTACAATTTATCTTTTCAGTCCAATACTTTATCTTAAACTGCCCGTCCGTCGACGAACTCGCGCTATTTATACAAAGCCCACTCTGTACTCGTAGTTTCTATATGCTCTCGAATGTAACCCGAAAATTCCATCTCTATGACTCAACGACCACGTATTGCTTTTTCTGGTAGATTCGAGAAGCGGTGCGTTTGTCTCTATACGTCAGCGGTGTTTCGACCATGAGTCGGGTGGCAGGCTCTAAGGTAGTGTTCTACAGGGATGGCTTAGGCATTCCCATGACATTGCCGTCTCCTTAAGAAATAGTTCCTCCTGGAACTAAAACTGAATGGTTGTATCTGCAACTGGATCCTCTTTTACAATTTCCAGTTGCATGGAAGTAACAAGGGACAGTCTTCGCTATAACCTGAACGCTGGAAAAATGGCTGCAGACCAGTATTTAAACCTGGGTATCTTGGAAGATCACTTCCATCATGTTTCTAATGATCCTCCAATTCAGCTAGTTGCTCTCGTATCTTTGGCATAGCTAGTTTCTGTACATTGGATTCCAGTACATGCTCCCTCAGATTGAGTAATGCTTCCCATACATCATGATAGGTGGATCGATCTCGGAAGGTGTTCTTTGTTACCAAATAGAAAAGATAACGCGATCCATCTTGAAGTTTCAATGCTTTTCCAGGTGCTGGTAACTGATCTTGAAGTTCTGGCAATCGACCAAACTTCTTCCTGAATACAGATGCCAGACCTCGAGCGTCGTCGTAGTGCGGAAGTGCCATGGACCAGCGAGTAATCTTTAGGAACCGTGAGCAGGTCTTGTTGTTGCTCGGTTGTAACACCATGTCTTGCTTTTCCGGTACCTCCGTATGAAGTGGGATGTGGGTTCTTCAAGGACCAGAAAACTTTTAAGACACAAACAACTTTTCATTTAAACAAAACTACAACGCCGTGATGCAACTTTACGTGAACATAAAAAATAAATCATAAAGTTCGTAATTAATGTCGAGCGTTGACGTTGACCACTCCGTGGTCCAAGCTCGACTGACCAGATTCGGCAGATTCCGTCCTTCGTTGCACTCGCATTTGCGCTGTAAGCGTTTGTCGCGCATTGCCCAGACACATGGGCGTCCCTACTAGGTCACACCACCACATGTATGCGCCCATAAATTCTTCAAAGATAAGGTTAGGTGATTCTCGGAGCTGGTTTACTTCTTCTTCCTCGTCATGGTTACCCTCAAATAGAGCCAGCCGGTTTTGGTGAACTACCTTCGGTTTACCGTTCGGGATCTTACTTTTACGGTAAATTACATCATTAATTTTATTCTTGATGAGGTACTTACCTTCCCAAGACCTTTGAAGCTTCAGAGAATAACCATGTCTTTTTGGGTTATGGAGCCAGACTTTATTTCACCGTCTTTGGTGTGGTCTACGTGTTCAATTTCTTCTATCTTCTTTTCCATCTCTTTTATTATCTCCTCAACGGAAGAAATCTTATCTTCCATAGAAGAAATTTCATTTTTCATAGAAGTCATATCAGAAGACATTTCATCTTTTAAAGAAGAGATTTTGTTATCCAAATCGATAGAAATTTCGGTTTTTAAAGAAGATATGTCAGAAGACACCTTTTCTTCTAAGGAAGAAACTTTACTATCTAAGGAAGAAATGACTGAAGAAACTTTAGTTTCTAATGAGGAAATATTAGAAAAAATATCGGTTTTTATGGAAGACCATATCAGAAGAAATTGAAGAAATTATAGCAGACGCATCATCCGAAAATAGAAACGTTTCCGGATCCAAACCTTCATTTTCTAGTGCTTTTTTAAGTCGTTCTGTCAGCTCTGATTTCTTTCCTGTCGTCTCCAGTTCACGTTCTTCTAATTCTCGACGTAGCTCAGGCACTTTTAAATCACGCAGTTTTTTTAGTCATTATTGTCCACTATTTATTTATAATCCCACGTCTGACACCAATTTTACGATAGTTTAATTTATTTATAGTTTATTTATTTAAAACACACTATTTACAATGTATTTATAACTTACTAATTAATTTATATAATAGTTTAACTCACAATTCTAATTTATTTATTACAATTTATCTTTGCAGTCCAATACTTTATTTTAAAGCCCGTCCGTTGACGAACTCGCGTTATTAATTGCGATTTTTATTATTTGGCATCAGAAATTTGTACTAGGCCGTTGCCAAAGTCGACCAGAAATACTGTAACAATAATCCGTATTTACTGTAGTGATGGTAGAAAAAAATATATTTCAACAAAATGTCGACTTTCAATTAACATAAAAATCATAAAATAGCGGGCGTGCAATTTGAATAAAATGCCATAATTCCAAATGTAACCAAAATTCAATTTCTATATTTCAATTATGTCATAAACAGAAATACAATTTTATTCAGTTTTCATTAAAATTATTACCTACACATGCTGATATTAATTCATTTTTATTAAAAAACAAACCAAACCGTGCGAAAATAAACATATAGATGTGTTGCTTGTTTCGTTGAGGTTTCGAAAATAATGGTCATAATAAATAAAATTATTTTTAACACCTAGCAGCAATATTATATTTCAAAAAATTATATATTTAAACTTCTATAGAGTAAGTAATAACAGAATTTCCAGACAATTGTCTAGGTTTAAAATTATTTTCACGCTAGTGTTGGATTAATGAATGGTTTAATTGCTATATTCCAATTTAAATCAGTTCTAGAATCGGTTTATGTTCCCTTTCATGTATTAAATGAATTGCTAGGACGAGCAAACTTGCCGCCTCGTTTTAATGAGGACATTGAAAGTTTTCCACTAGATGATGAAAAGGAATATCATTATAAACTCCTGCAAATAAACTAAAATATTTATAAATAAACCGCGACTCCAATTTTTGTTTTTAATTTATTATATTCCACTTCATCAAAGCAAAAAAAACGATTTTCTGATTAAAGTATAGAATGATGTACATTTATAGAGGCAAATCATTAAGCAAATGGATGGATGCTTTGGTTACGAGAAA